CTACACCTCCAACAGATCTATTCGGAATCTTTTGTCAAGGCAGCAGCCTCATCAGCATGGAGACGGACAGTTCTGGCGAGGACGAGGCCCCAGCCAGGGCCATTTCAGCAAGGTGATTTACTGATGTTTTGGCGATCTGATAACCTAAAGCGCAACCTGCATGCACGATGGCGTGGACCTGCCCGGTGCCTGGGCAAGGATGAGCACGGATACTGGCTGATCCATAACAGGATCCCGATCCTATGTTCACCCAGTCTCCTTCGAAGGGCGACTGAGCACGAGGTGACCACCATGCAGTTTACCGACCTGTTTCCAGATGGTGGACCTGCACGTGGACGAGCTGGTCAGCGTGGTTTTCTGGACCTTCGAGGTCAACAGTATAACCCAGCAAGAGATGATCAACAGCCAGACCAGCATCCAGATCAACGGCCAGATCAGCAGCCAGATCAACATCAAGATCACCGAGATCCAGGACATCAGCAGCATCCTGGACACGGCGATGTTCCACCACAGCCAGCAGGAGGACAAGGTGATGCACCATCGAGTGCACCGACGACGGCATCAGCAGCACCTGCTCAGGGCAACGTGGAGCGGACGAGGCCAAGTGACAGCAGGAAGCGACGATCGGAAGTGGTACACGATAACGACGCGATGCCAATACGACAGAGGCTGGGCGACGAGTACGAAACAGTACCAGCTGATCAAGATCAAGCGGAAGAAGACCTTCGAGCACGACTTGTTCGAGCGCACCAAGCTTGGGGCACCATATTGGGAGCAGTGGCGGCCAGCAGCCAGGGCGAGACCGACCTGAGGCAGCTGGACAATGTCAGGAACGCCCCTCTTCTACCTGACCCGGCGCCTGGGTGCAAGATTGAGAGGCGGCGGTTTTTCAATTTGGGCACGCGCGACCTGGTTCAAGATATCTCGAGAGTGGACTGGACAGCCAACCATCAGATCATCGACGATGCGGCATCGCAAGACCCCATCGCGATCATCGAGGAGATCACTCTGGGAAAGGAAGAGGAAGCTGGAGATGGACCAGGAGGTGGCCAACAGCCTGCAGCAGCCCCGCAGGAGCCTACCAATACTGACGAGACCATGGAGGAACCTAAGGAGGTGAAGCGCGGAGGCAAGAAGCACGCCAAGAAGGACCTGAAGCTCAAGCAGACCAAGCGGGACGACGCTCAGGACGATCGAGCTCAGCTTCGAGTACCTGCCAGGATCCAGAGGCACATGGAGGAACGCCAGAAGGCGGAGGAAACGGCAGCAGCACCAGCAGAGGTACCGCAAGATCAACCGGCTACATCATCGTCACGTACGCGACAGCCTGCGCAGGGCAAGCGCCAGGAACACCCAGTTACGATCAAGGAGTTCTTGCTGGGCGATGTGCCGATCAGCATCAAACGAGCCCGGGCGCAAACTGGGCCAGTCAAGCAGCTGGCAGATACCGCTGCTCGTCGAGGCGTTCGTGGCCGAGCGGATGCGCAGCCAACCGACGAGAGCCAACAAGCATCAGGAGATCAATTTGTAGACGCTGGGCGATGACAAGCTCAAGTGGAAGAAGATGCAGCAGGCGGTGGAGAAGGAATGGAACACGCGGTGCAAGCGCGATGCAGCAACCCACAAATCAGGGGCAGCAGTCGACATGGTCGACCCGGACAAGATCCTGAGCTCCAAAGTGGTCTGGACCGATAAGGGCCCCACGACTTTCGAGCCGAAAGCCAGGATCTGTGGGAGAGGCTACGAGGAGGAGTTTGACGACAAGCTACGACGGGACTCACCTACAGTCGCAGCGCAGATGAGGTTACTCCTGCGCAGCATCGTATCAAGCCTCAACTTGGACCTAGTCATCGCAGATGTGAAGCGGGCCTTTCTGCAAGGCAAAGCCATCACCCGCGAGCTCTACTTCCGTGTCCCGACGAACCTCGGGAAGTGCAACATCCCGGGAGTGAAGGCAGGCGACCTGCTGAAGTTAAACAAGAGCATCTACGGGACCAACGATGCAGCTCGTGCGTGGTATGTGGCGCTACGCGAGACGCTCGTTAAGCTTGGATGGGAAGGCCTGAGCTTCGAGCCCGCGACCTTCATCAAGCGCAATGCGGAGGGCGCGATCATCGGGATCATGTGCCTGCACGTGGGCGACTCCCTCATGGGCATCGAACAGGACGACCCGGGGGGCGCCAAGATCATGAAGGACCTGCAGAAGGAGATCGACTCTTGCCGAGGTCAAGTACGCAAGGAAAGAGCCGGCGACTTTCTGTGGCCGTGCCTACAAGCAGGACAAGGACGGAAGCATCAACGTCACCATGGAGGCCTACGTGAAGTCGATGCAGACTGTACGTATCTCCAGAGAGCGCAGCAAGGCACCAGATAGCGCCTTGACCCATGCAGAGCATCGTGGACTACGAGTGGTAGTTGGGCAACTGCAATGGGCTGCGCGAGTGATATGCTTCGAGGAGGCTTTCGAGGCACCCCGACTGGCATCTACGCTGGGAGCTCCGACGGTGAAGGACCTACAGGACGGCGACGCGGCCATCAGGCGGATGCAGAAGCGGGACGACTTGCTGATCAGGTTCTCAGCAGGCCTGAACCTGTGGGAGACCATGGTGATCAATGTCACCGACAGTGCTTTCGACAATCTGCCGCAGCACAGATCACATCGCGGACACTTCGTCATGCTGGGCGACCAGAAGATCAACGAGGACCACAGTAACAAGTACAAGGTGCACTGCATTGGGTGGCAGTCTTCCAAGATTCAACGAGCGGTGCGATCTACTCTATCGGCGGAGGCCTACTCATGTGCGGATTCGGTGGACATGTTAATATGGACAAGGTCGACCCTGGCGGAGATCCTGTGCCCGGAGATGGACATGGCCGAGATTGTGCACGACACCTGCCCGGTGAAATGCATTTCGGTGATCGACTGCAAGAGCCTATGCGACACGATCACAAAGGAGAAGATTTCTATGACGGACAGGAGGCTTTCTTGGGAAGCGGCTATATTGCGGCAGTCACTCAAAGAGGTCAGCATCAAGTGGGTCAAGAGCGAGCAGATGCTAGCGGACTGTTTGACGAAAGTACTTCCAGGAGGCTACGCGAGGAAGATAGTGACATCAAATTTGTGGACTCTTGGGCCTGATGACAGGGCACCATCAATACGTGGACGAAAGCTTGTTGGACCAGAGAAGGTGGCAGCCAACAAGGTGGTAGACGAGCTGAACGCGAAGATGGCCAAGTACGTCAAGCAGGAGCTGTACGATGACACCGGGAAGGACGACGAGGAGATCTCCACGTGGCCGGTGGAGACGTACAACTACGTGGACGAGTGCTTCTACGACGACAAGGACGAGGTCCAAGACGAGGACAACGTCGAGGCATTCTACACGGAAGAGCTAACGGACAACTACCCGATGGAGAAGAGTGGCGCGCAGAGAACCATCCAGATACCTGACCAAGTTGTAGTTCTGTTTCAACTTTGTGCACTTGCAGTGAATGGAGTTTGTCATTCGATGGCTCCTACGGTGGTGGCAGTAGTCTCTATCATCGCGGGTATCATCATACTCATTTACGTAATGCAGCCTAAGCAGAACGACGACGAGGACATGTTCGATCCGATGGGGGTGGATAGTTCAAGCAGCGACAACCTGTTCAAGCCGGAGTTGCCCGAGAAGCCGGTCAAGGTCAAATCCAGAACAGCGAAGGTTACGCCAAAAGCTACGACGACAACCTTCGCAGTACGAGCCGATCCAGAGACCTACGATGATGAGATCATGGGAGATGGACCAATTATGCTTGGAGATAGCGCTCTACTGAGGCAGTGGCTGGAGACCATGGGACCGACGATAATCAGGAGTGGCAAGTACGAGGGCGACAGCTATGAGACGATCTATACGAAGGACAGGCACTACGCAAATTGCTTAGGACGGTGTCTCAAACTGGACGCAGACGAGGGCAGGAGTTATAATCTCGACCCGAGCATCAAGGTTTACATTGCATACAGCATCATCAAGTCAGCAGTGCGTGTGCGCTGATCATCACTACTACATCTGTGACGATACCTTGGAGCCAGCCAAGGCAGTGGCTCACATGTGAACGGTGGTGAGGATGATGAGTGATTTTGGTTACCACTTCTGATGATTAGTGATGTTTGGTCACCATCTGCAGATGAGGAGTGGGAGCACTCCCTCAAGACCTTAGGTACAGATGTTTTTCTGTTGCTCGGTGCGTTGATTTGTTTTATCTTGATATCTAATATGGATATCTATTGTTTGATACACGGACTGTAGTTTGACCGTTCGAGCAGATAATATTGGATTTCTTTTCTTTGATATCTGTTGCTTGGTGCACGGACGATAGTTTGATCGTTCGAGCCGATAATATTATTGAATGTTCTAGAAGCTTGCTGCAGGATGTGCTGAGGCATTATTTAGCAACGTTTCCTTTTCCTGTGTGAAAGTTATATTAGCAAGGCTGTGAGTTTTAGGATGATGTTTAGAATTATCTATGTTTTTGCTCTCGCTCGCTCATGCTTACACTCTCTTGTTCACTATTGCCATTTGTGGCGTGGACCCGCCCAGCTGAGGCGGGAGGGTTGACGCGCCTATCGAACGCTGAGTTTGATTCGGTATAACATATCCTATCATCTGCCTGTTTCTTCTTGCATCAAGAGGTTGTGGGTGGAAATATCTGGATCATTATTTACAGGAGCTCCGCATCTCCGTCGGCCCTGGGGCACGCGGAACGTCATGCCAAAACGGAGAGTGGCCGTCCTCCTCCCCCTCCTCCTTCTCCTCCTCGTCCTCCTTTTCCTCCTCCTCCTCCCTTCCCTCCTCTTCCTCCTCCTCCTCTTCCTCTTCCTCCTCCTCCTCCTCCTCCTCTTCCTCGTCCTCCTCCTCCTCCCCCTCCTGCTGCTGCTGCTGTTGCTGCTCCTTCCCACGCTGCAGGCTCGCAGATGCTCGCAGGCCCCCGCGCGCGCGCCCCTCGCGCGCGGCGCGGCGGAGGCTTGACGGCGAGGCCAAGGTGTGGAGCCTGGCGCCCAAGGGCGCCGGGGCCGACGACAAGGCCGGGGCGCGGAAGCTTTGAGATTCTCTATGTTCAAGAGACGGGGGTCAAGCATGTTCCTGGATGTGATGTTGGGCGCCCGAGTTATCCGGGGTAACTCGGGTCCGGGGTAACTCGGGTTTGGATTCCCGAGAAAGGAACCCGAGTTATCCCTGACCCGAGTTACCCCTGATGATTCGGGGCTCTTGGACGCCCGATTCATCCGGGGTAACTCGGGTCCGGGGTAACTCGGGTTTGGATTCCCGAGAAACGAACCCGAGTTATCCCTGACCCGAGTTACCCCTGATGATTCGGGGCTCTGATGATGTGCTATGTTGCCCTTATCGTGTTTGAGGACCACAGCCCAGAACTAATTTCGAGCATCCAGAACAGTATCGAAACAGTGTATGCCCGACACGCTAGCGCAGTGCCGAACCAGTGTCGCCTCCCAGGGCCGACGCGTGCAAGCCAGCATTGCAGCTTCGGCACTCTTCCTGATGCTCAGAGCTCTCCCTGGTGATCCAGGCTGGAGCAGGCCAGGCCGCCATCAGAGAAGCGCAGGCGTCAGCTCCCTGCGGCCCGGCGGGGCCTCCAGAGGCAAGGGGCCGGCAGAGCGGGGGGCCCAGACTCTCGAGCGGGCGGCCGCAACCCCGCCCCAGCCTTCTCCCTGGAGGGGGTCAGCGCCAGGGAGAGGAGGGATGGTGCAAGAAACTGGAAGGAAGGAGGGGGAGTAGGAGGAGGAGGAGTGGAACAGCTGAGTACAAAAGGGTTCCCCTTGTGGCGGAATGCAATCGGGTTACCTTTGTGGCAAAATGCCAGAGGACCTTTTTGCGGCGGAATACTTCAGGATTATTCCTTTTTTGGGGCCCAGACGATCCAAAAAGGCTGTTTTCGGCGGCGCGCCCGGGGGCCAAGTAAGAAGGGGCGGGCCTTCTCAGAAGGCTCGGAAGTTCCCCAGCCTTCCGAAAAGGCTTCTGACCCCCGAGGACACGACCAACTTCTCAGGAGGCACCCCCGAGGACACGACCAACTTCTCAGAAGGCACCCCCGAGGACACGACCAACCTCTCAGAAGGCGCGAGGGCTCCCGAGAAGTCCCGGCGACCTCTGAGAAGGCCTTCCTCCTCCTCGCTTCCCCCCCCTCCTCCTCCTCCTCCTCCTCCTCCTCCTCCTCCTCTGCTCCTCCTCCTCCTCCTCCTCCTCCTCCTCCTCCTCCTCCTCCTCCTCCTCCTCCTCCTCCTCCTCCTCCCCCTCCAGATCATGCAGTTTTGCAGGCCGCAATACCATGAATCAGGGGGTCTCTTAGCAAGCGAGGAGCAGCCGAGCGCCCGCCGACCGCGCCGACCGCGCCCAAAATGGGTACGGATAGGGGGCCACACGCGAACCCTACCCCTACCCCCCCACGATTTCTGAGGGGGAGGGTGCGGTTCACTTCGCTCGGGAGCTCCCAGACGAAGTGAACCCCACCCTCCCCCTCAGAAATCGTGGGGGGTGGGGGTAGGGTTCGCGTGTGGCTCCCTAACGGAAGCAAGGGGCCGGGCCGCGGAAGCTGTGAGGCTCGGGGGGGCCGAAAGGGGTATCTCATAGTCGTGGCCTCCCTACGGCGCACAAGAGGAGTTCGTGTACCAATGGTTGTAAACAAGCGGTGCAAAAAGCGGTTGGTTGGTTGGGGTCTGGCGGCGGTTGATCATTATTATGCAGCCATTTTTCAGACAGGTGAGGGCGAAAGCCGACTTTGGGGCTCCCAAGTCCCCAACTGAACGTGGCAAAAAGGTGACGACGTGTCATCGTGTGCTTTGATCCTTGGGGTGCCGAGTCTGTAGAGTTCGTTTACCAATGGTTGTAAACAAGCGGTGCAAAAAGCAGGATAACAATCAAGAGCACGCGGAGCAGGACGTGAAACAAGAATGTTGATTCACGTATTGTCTGGTGAAAAAGGCACAGCGGAGTCTGCGCCGACAAGTAGTGCAAGAGAATGTGTCCTCCCAAGACGCGCAACTGTGCATGGCTTATTCAGTTGCGCGAATTGTTTTCGTGTGTTCGCGTTTTTGTCACGCTTTCTGCTTGTGGATTCTGCTTCACGAGATTTAGCCCAGTCGCGAGGAACGGAAGCAAAGGGTACAAAGCCCAACAGCAATTGTTCATTCTGAACAGGGTTCGCTGTCGGCGTCGCCGGTCGACGACATGTGGCGTTGGGCTTTATATCGATTTTTGCACGTACCCATTTCGGGCGTCCAGAGAGACGGGGGTCAATGCAAACGGGGGTCAGCCAGGGCGCCGGATCTTGCAGGATGCTGCAAAGCCGGGGTTGCATCGACCGGGGTCAGCGCGCAGGTTTCTGCAGGCTCTGCATGATCCAGCCGGATTTTGCAGGATCATGCAATGCCTGACTGACTTGGGCGGGGTCCGGGGAACATTGAAAAATACATGGAACCCGTACGCCCCCCCAACCCGAGTTTCGGGTCCAAGGAGGAGGAGGAGGAGGTGGGGGATGAGGAGGAGGAGGAGGAGGAGGAGGAGGAGGAGGAGGAGGAGGAGGAGGAGGAGGAGGAGGAGGAGGAGGAGGAGGAGGAGAGGGGGTCAGTATCAGTCCGAGGGCCGCGGGAGTCTCCCAGCAGGGGCGACGCATCGACCCGTGATCGCCCCTGGATCGCCGACGGGGGCCTCACAGCCCCGCCCCGCCCGGGCACGTGCAGATTCGCTGTCGGGGGCTTCTCGTCGATCCATCGTCGGGGGGCGCAATCTATGCATACACCTTAGCCGATGCTTAAGAAATTTAAATGTTCGGCCAGAGTCTCGATTATTCTTAATGTTTCAATGTAAATTCCAAGATTTGAGTAGACATTTTGGGTTTTTATTCCAGTTCTGAGACTATGAATTTCTTAACCCATGATTTCTTAAGCATTTCGCAGGGTTTATACGCCCTCCTGGCCAAACCAGGAGGGCGTGGCGTATACACAGCTGCCGTGTTCAGGATGGGCCTGGCCAGGGAGCAGTGGATATGCATAGATTGCGTCGCCCTACATCGGCGATGTAAGTTATCGCCGATTCCTGGTCGATGTCTCCCCCCAGTCTCCCCCCTTGATCGTGCCCCCTCACTTCCACGTCTTCACGATCTACAATTCGGTACGACCGAGGTGTGTGCGAAAAGAAGAGGGGGCGCAGACCGGCAGCATGCCTGGCTCACGTTGAGCAGGTGTCGTTTTCGATGTCGCCGCGGACAAAGAGTCGACTGCCCAACAGCGGCCGCTGTCGGTTTGGGAGCATTTGTTGTTGGGCATCGCGGCCATATGTTTCGTATCCATATCGGGCGCGCCAAGCAATTGTGGGACCTGCACGTTTGACGTCATACAGTTTTTGTTTGGGCCATCTTCAGGCTCTCTACAGCACGGATCGTTGTTCACGCGCGCGCGAGGCACCGATTTCCCAGATACAACCCAGCGGCAACGCAGGTAATCCTTCATGCATGCCACACGTCAGCGCGATACTACTGTTCATACTGATTACCTTCCTCCGCACGAAGGGTTGACCTCCTGGACACAGCTTGTCGGCAATGCCAGCAGTCTTGCACGCTTATCACGCTCGCGCGAGGATATGGTTTCATACCTCCGTACCCCCCCCACACGAGGAGTCGACCTCCAAGACATGGCCCGGCTGCAAGGCCTGCGGTGCTGCATACACACGCCACACGCATGCAGCGTCGTCAGTCCTGGTCGCACCCCACATTGTCCGCATCACATATGCATCCCCACCTGCGGCATTATCGGTGGCTTGTTCTAGTGCGCTTGCATAATCTTCTTTCGGCGGCGCCGCCGCTGGTATCTGGCGCGGGCCGTCCAGTACCTTCCTTCTCTACAATTATTCAATATGAATATACTCTCCCTCTTCCCCTGATGGCGTCCGGGTGATGGCCGCGCACCCTCCGCGTACTGTTTTTTTACACACAGGATGCCCGGGAAATCCCGGGAAACGACTCTCGCTGAGGCGCCGGCGTCATTTTTTCCCAAAATGCTGCTCTCGTTGAGGCGCCGGCCTCATTTCTGCTCCCGAATCGTTCCGAATCGTGCTCCCGCTGCAGCGTGGGCCTCATTTTCGGATCGGTGTTTGGCCTCCGTCGTTCAGGATGGCGTTCTCGCCCCAGCGCGGGCCTTTTTCTCGCGCGCCCATCCGCCCGCCACCACCGCGCCGCACCACCACCACCACCACCACCACCACCACCACCACCACCACCACCACACCACCACCACCACCACCACCACCACCACCACCACCACCACCACCACCACCACCACCACCACCACCACACCACCACCACCACCACCACGACAACCACGCACACACGCACGCACGCACGCACGTGCACCACCACCCACTACGCACGCGCGCGCGGAGCCACAGGTCCGCTACGACACGCGTCCGCGGATAGAGAATATCAGCGCCATGGTAAAGGATGGGAGGGAGGGGTAGGACGTCAGATATGACGCGAGCGCACCTACCTTGACCCCACCCCTCCCTCCCTCCCGTCCTCCTCCTCGCACTCCTGAGGCCGCTTCACCCCACGGTGAACGGGCCAATCCGAAGTCTGTTATTCTTGGCAGCCTAGGGAAGAGGCTGTCACTACGAACGTGGCCGAATTTGTCCACCGCAAACTCAGGGAGGATGTGAAGAAGGGTTACGCCTGGCACCTCCGCCAGGCTGGACCAAGTCTGAGGCAGCAGAGGTGGCTGCTGTAAAGGCACGCGTGCCGATCAAGAACCAATAATCACAGTTGCGACATCTGGCATGTGTGCTGGGATCCCTTATCTTCATCAGCACCGAATTCCAAGGATGGGAGAGCCATTGAGCCCCGCCCGACATTTTCAGGGCCATGCCTGCCCTGAAGAGGATTCGCGCTACACTAAATCCTCCTCCTCCTCCTCCTCCTCCTCCTCCATAGGTAACGGGGAAGTTTTGCGGCGTGGGGTAGGGGGAGGGGTAAGCCCTTCTCCGAAAGGAAAAGAAGCAGGTTGGAAGAGGAAGCGTCCTGAATCACTTACCACTACCAGAGGGCTGAGGGAATTTGACAGCGCACTATTGCGGGCGCCGGATCCATTGCCTTCGGAGGTTGCAGCGCCGTCGCTGGTGTACAGCAAGAACTTGCAGGCGGGCCCGCTGTTCACGTGCAATGCCAGCACTGAGGCTCCTCGGGGCGCGCCGCGCACGAGGGACCAGGTGCGACAGTTGATGAAGTTGAGATTGTGTGTACAACATGGTCTGTTCTGACCATGACTCGAATGGGCCCTGTTGGGCTCGTCTGAAACGGCATCTTTCATGATTTGCTCCGAGAGCCTGTACGGAACCGACGTTCCAAAAGACTCAATCGGGATCGCTGCCTATCCAGCTGCCTGCGGCAAGCCCCGTCACCGTGTCAGCGAACCAGCGCAGCGTGAAGTATGTTCAGTTCAAGACCCACGGCTGTTCAGCGCGCGGTCCGAATTTCTGAACTGGAGTGGGTCTTGCTCCCAACTATCCTGTGGTGTTGGGTCCTCGTTTTGGAGAGACGGTCCCCGCGTTCCTTTTTCTCTTCTCCTCTTCCCCCCTCCTCCTCCCCCCTCCCTCTTCCATGCGTTTCACCCACCCAGCACAGCGTCTCGTGGCCCCATAGGGGGCTCCACCGAAGGTCACAGTGGCACCGCCCGCATGCGTTCGCCACCACCCAGCACAGCCCTTGTTCCTTGCGTTTCACCCACCCAGTACAGCGTTGCGTGGCCCCATAAGGGGACTCCACCGCAGGTCCCAGTGGCACCGCCCGCATGCGTCCGCCGCCACCCAGCACAGCCCTTGCTCCCTGCGTTTCGCCCACCCAGTACAGCGCTTCGTGGCCCCATACGGAGCTCCACCGAAGGTCCCAGTGGCACCGCCCGCATGCGTCCGCCACCACTCAACACGGCCCTTGCTCCCCTCGTTTCACCCACCCAGTGAAGCGTTTCGTGCCCCCATAAGGGGGCTCCACCGAAGGTCCCACTGGCACCGCCCGCATGCGTCCGCCACCACCCAGCACAGCCCTTGCTCCCCGCGTTTCGCCCACACAGTACAGCGCTTCGTGGCCCCATAAGGGGGCTCCACCGCAGGTCCCAGTGGCACCGCCGGCATGCGTCCGCCACCACCCAGCACAGCCCTTGCTCCTTGCGTTTCACCCAGCCAGTACAGCGCTTCGTGGCCCCATACGGAGCTCCACCGAAGGTCCCAGCGGCACCGCCCGCATGCGCCCGCATGCGTCCGCCACCACCCAGCACAGCCCTTGCTCCCTGCGTTTCACCCACCCAGTACAACGTTTCGTGGCCCCATACGGAGCTCCACCGAAGGTCCCAGTGGCACCGCCCGCATGCGTCCGCCACCACCCAACACGGCCCTTGCTCCCTTCGTTTCACCCACCCAGTACAGCGCTTCGTGGCCCCATAGGGAGCGCCACCGAAGAAGATATTCACAATTGCGGTACCCACAACTGCATATGGTTGGGTCTTTTACCAGGCAATTTTTTTGATTTCATCCCCTCGACGCGGGGACCTTTCCCTCGACGCGGGGGCCTCCGCGGGGCACCCTCGGGGGCTGAGGCGCAGCACGCGACAGCGTTGCAAGGATCTGCCCGCCGCTCTTGGAGTTCACACAGGGTGGTTGTCAGCTTGATGACTGATGCCCAGGAACACACATGCAAACCTGCAGGTGCGCGCAAAGCTGAAGGGTGCCCTCAGAGGCAAGCGCCAGCCGACCGCTCTCCCAGCGCACAGGACGCATGAGAGTTGCAGTGCGTCCGGGCTCTGAAGCCGATGCCAGGTGGACCGTAAATTGCAGCCCCGTGTCATACTTCGCGTCTCGTGGTTGGATTCGTTTGTGCCAGAGCAAGCGCGCGCCTGATGCGTAGCTGAGAGTTGTCGTCGCTGCAGCTCTCACGGCACAGGAAGGCGCAGTTGATGACAGTGTTGGAATGACACGCTGGCCGTTCTGTTGGTTTCCCAAACAAGCCTGTGGACTGCTGGAGCGTAAAAACTTGCCCCATTGGAATTTCTAATTTCGTATGTGGGCACAGATGTGCGCGATGAGTTTGCATTTCCATTGAGCGCCAAACGCTACACCGACACTTTGCTGATCGGATCCGTAGAGCCACCACAGGCTCAGGGTTCCTTCAGTTGCAGCCGTCGGCCAGCCGCTCTCGTAGAATAGGCGGTGGTTGATATATATATATATATATGTGTGTGTATATATATACATACATATACATACATATATGTGTATATAAATATATATGTATACATATATATATATATATATATATATATATATTCAGTGAGTTCGGTTTCTGATTATGCTGCCATGCGCCAGCGCGAATTACTAGCCCGCCTCGTGCGTCGTGTCCCGCGAATTACTAGCCCGCCTCGTGGGATGCATGCGTGCAGGAGCAAGAAAGCGCCTGACGTGTAGCTGGGAGTTGGCGTCGCTGCGGCCCTCACGGCACAGGGAGTCGCAGTGCACGACAGTGTTGAAGCGATGCGCACGCCGTTCTTGGAGTTCAGAGAACGCGTGTCAGTGTGAAGTTTTGATTGCAGGGGTTGTGACTGCAGTTTCCTTGAGCCCCAAATCCTGCACTGACACTGTGCCGATCGGTTCCACACAGCTGCCACAGGCTCAGGGTGACTGGAGTTGCAGTCGCTGGTCAGCCACTCTTTCAGAGCGTGGCGTGTATGAGAAATTCGTTCCGGTGCATGCTCTTCGGCACCGCCTGTACCCCGCGCCCTCCGGCCGCCTGAGGCCCCGCCCGCCCGGGTCCTGTCTCCCCAATTAGTGCTTTGCGCGCCCCGCCTAGCTCTTACCCGGAAGAGGCCTGCTCTCGACCCGCAGACCAAAAAAGTGTATGATAAATTCAGAGCGCTCGCTTTCTGACTGTTACTGCCAGGCGTCAGCTCGAATCGCGAGCTCGCCTCGTGCTTGGGATCCACGCGTGCCAGAGCCAGCAGGCGCCTGATGCGAGGCTGGCGCCGCCGCGGCCCGCACGGCACAGGGAGGCGCCGTGCATGACAGCGTGGCTGTGACGCGCTCGTGGTCTTCGGTTGTCCGATGATGGTCGATATGACGTTTTACGGTGACGACCTCTCGTATACAAATCGGAGGTGGATCGGCCTCCCACCCTGGCACGTCGATTAGCGACTTGGGCCGTTTTCGGTCCGCGAGAGGGCGTTGCGGCCGTCATGTTGTGCGGGCCCAGGCCCGTCGGTTTCGGTCCCAGGCCGTTTTCACTGAGGGGAGGTTCACTAAAGGGAGGTTTGTCCACCGCCGGTACAGAGCTGCGGACTGCGGTGAGGGCGTGGGTTGAGGAGCGTGCCCAGGAGGCCTCGGGCCCTGGAGGGTTCTCCTTCTTTGAGGAGGGCGGCGGTGATGTCCCTGGCCAGTCCACGATGGGCTCTCCACCAGCTTCCAGACCCTGGATTCCTGATCGAAGGGTTCCCCATCCAATGCTAGGGGAGCAAAAAGTGAAAGAAACATAAAAAACTCGGAGGTCCGCGCAGATTTCTCGGATCAGCGCTGGGGCCCCCCGGCGGCGCCTCCGGCGCCGCCCCTGACGCGCCCCGCGCGCCAGGGAGGGGGGTCCAGCGCCGATCCGAGAACTCCGCGCGGACCCCCCCGAGTTTTCACGTCTCTGTGACTTGTTGTTCCCCTGAATGCCCTCACCTGATGGGCCTGTTTTCCACCACCACCACCACCACCATAAGATGGAGGGGGAGGGGGTCGTCCGCCTCCTCCTCCTCCTCCTCCTCCTCCTCCTCCTCCTCCTCCTCCTCCTTGTCCTGCACCTCCTTCCCCCCCTCCAACTTATGGTGGTGGTGGTGGAAAACAAGCCCATCATCACCGGTGTGGTGGCGTGCGCAGCTTGCCACGTGGAGCCAAGGCCGGCCCCGCGGCCCCCGCCCGGCCGCGCCGAGGCTCCCGCGTTCTTCTGCTTCGGGGGCAAGTGCCCCGTGATGTGGGAGCGGGCGCGGGCGCCCGGGAGGGGCCCCTATCGGAGGAGGGCGCGGGAGGGAGACCCCCGGACTCTAGGCCTCCTAGACGGGGTCGGAGCAGATGGGGTCGGAGGATCTCGCCGCATCGCCGATGCATCGACGATGCGGCTCGATGCGGAGCCCGATTTTATCCACGCCGACGTCGCCGATACATCGCCGACGTTGACGCCTCATCGCCGGTGCATCGCAGATGCATCGCCGATGCATGGCCGATGCATCGCCGATATAACGGCGATGCGGCGCGGTCCTCCGACCCCATCTACTCCGACCCCATCCAGGAGGCCTCTACTGACATTCGGGGGTGGACAGACCTCCTACCCTGACACGTCGATTAGTGGATTGGCCGTTTTGCGGTTCGCGAGAGGGCGTCGCGGCGCGGCCGTCATTTTTGCGGGTCCAGGTCCGTCGGTTGCGGTCCCAGGCCGTTTTCATCAAGGGGAGGTGTACAGTCGGGGCCCTGAAGAAGGAACTCTTTTCGTTGGGGAGGGGCTCCGTGTTCCTTAATTGTTTCGCAGCTTGCCTTAGATTTTCCTTAGGTTTTCGATACGACATCGAAGTTTCACTTATGGAAAAAAAGGGGCCTCGTTCCGCATTTTGGGTTCCTTGGGTCAAGGCCCCGACTGTACGAAAGGGAGGCTTGTCCACCGCTGAGGCATGCTCGCATCGTGACAACATCAGGACGGGATCGGCAACACCCCAACATACTTATACTATATGTGCGTCGCCCCCCCAGGGGCGACGCGCGCACCGAGAAATCTTATAGTATATGCGTCGTGGCGGGCGCTTTCTGGCCACACCGCTCGGGAAACGATGTACTACAAGATGGGTATACTACATGTTCGGGTCGGACGAGCGCCTCCAAGGAGGACACATAGTACTAGTATGTCCATGTGCGTCCCACGGGAGGCTCTTCGCCGTTTTCTGTCTCGGGGGGCCCTCGCCGGGCCACGGGGCCGTCAAAGAGAAGGGTGGCGGGAGGAAGGGCCGGCCCCGCGGGAGGGGTTAGGAGTTTCGGGGGCCGCGCGGGGAGTTCCGCAGGCTGTCGCGTCTTTCGGGGGCGGAAAAGAGGGGGGTGATGACTAGAGCTTCTCCTCCTCCCTCCTCCTCCTCCTCCTTCCTCCTCCTCCCTCCTCCTCCTCCTCTTCCTCCTCCTCCTCCTCCTTCTCCTGCTGCTCCTCCTCCTCCTCCTGGGCTCGGGGGCGGCAAAGAGGGGGGTGATGACTAGGGGGGGTTGGATATCATGGCGTGGGCCATGATATTTCCTCAGATCTCATGGCGCCTCTTCTTGTTCCATTACGTGCCTCGGCCCCCCCCGCTGGGCCGCGCACATGCCGCCGGCCATGATTTGCACCCCCCCCTCTTGGACACCCCCCTCTTGGCCGCTCCCGAAGGATGTCGCATGTTTGGGCCCTGAGATTTTGGCGCTGTCATTGTTTCGCATCGGGCGATGCTGCTTCGCTCGGGGGCCAAGGGACACCACAGGTCGATCCGAGTCGACAAAGGACGCGGAAGGACGGGGTCTAGGGCTCCTGTCGTGGTTTGTGTCGATGCTGTTATTCCAGCAACATCGGATCTCAAGGGAGATTGCTTTTGTCATCCTCGTGCGCGGAACGGTTGCTACCTGGACCGCACCCTTCTGGGTCGCGGTGACGATGGTGCGTAGTGGTGGGGCCTGGACCCCCCCCCATGCTTGTGTTCGCACGCATACTGTGGCGATCGCAATCGCAGCGCACCCCTTCCCCGACGTGCCCCACCCCGCCCAAGCGTCACCATAACCGCCCCCCCCCAGGGGTAACGACCGTTACCGGATGTATGGCCTTCCTGGGAAAATTAGCAGAACTTATTTACTGCGTGGAGCTCCCCATATGTGCATCTACTAGCTGGACTTGTCCGCCGTGAGCGTCCAGGCGCAAGGGTTTCGAGTATTCACGGGCTTGATTATTGATGGGCTGTGAGTGAACCTAATTGTGAATGAGTTGGAGTGTGGATGAGTCTCAGTGGTACGAGCGCGTCTCTGCGCATGAGCCTGGGGCCTCCTGAAACCTCCTGGGGCTACCTGGAGCCTCCTGGGTCCTCGTGTAGCCTCCTGGGGCCTCCTGGAGCCTCCTGGGGCCTCCTGGGGAGGACTCGTGCCCCAGGAGAGGCCCAATCTATAGGAATAGACGTACATCAAACACTGCGGATTAGAGCCACAGGATAAGCGCAATCTATAGGAACACACGTAAAACACCAAGGACTCGTGCCCCAGCGGAGGCCCAATCTATAGGAGCATACGTAAACTTAGGATTGGATACGCAGGAATAGGACAATCTATAGAAACAGACATAAAATAGTAAGGATTCGTGATCCAGGGGAGGCCCAATCTATAGGAGCATACATACAATACATGGTATTGGAGCCACTCCTGTGGCCTTCTAAGGCCTCGTACTCCTGGGGCCTCTTGAGGCTTCCTGATGCTTTCCCGGGCCTCCTGGTGCCTTCTGGCGCTTCCTGTGGCTTCCTGGGGCCTCCTGTGGCTTCCTGGGGCCTCCTGGCATCCTGGAGCCTCCTGAGGCCTTCTGGAGCTTCCTGGGGCCTCCTGGGGCCTCTTGGGGTATCCTGTGGCCTCTTGAGTCTTCCTGTGGCATCCTGGTGCCTCCCGGGACCTCCCTGTTGCCTCCTGGGGCCTCCTGGAGCCTGCTGGAGCCTCCTGTGGCATCCTGGGGAGGATCCGTGCCCACGAGTCTGGCCACCAAAACAAGCAAACCGATCGAGACATCCTCAAACTCTGTCCCCGCTTGGGGGTGAAAACGAGCGCCTCGCTCGAGACATCCAAGTCTGCTCCGGAAGTGCAGGATCTTGGGCATGCAAACAGGCAAACCGCTCGAGACATCCCCGCCATGCTGGCGCGAACGGAAGACGTGTAACCCGCGCCTCGCTCGAGACATCCTCAGATTCTGCTCTGAGCGCAGACGAGCCTGGCCCCCAAAACAAGCAAACCGCTCGAGACATCCTCGCCATTTGGGCCCCCTGGGGTGCGAGAACCAGCTCCTCGCACGAGACACAATTTTTCATCAGCATCACTCATCATCTGCATCATCATCGTCGCCATCATACTCTTATCGTTATCATTCGGCATCATCACACTCTGAGTGCATCATCATACTCCGAGTAGGATGGGGAAGAGGGAGGAGGTGAGGAGGAAGGAGGTCCGCGCGCGGTCGGTAATAACAAGAACCCCATCGTTTGGATACGAGGGAAAAATAGGCTGCCTGCTCTGGATGCCGACGTGCACCCCCTCCGCCCCGCTTTCCCTCGGTTCCCGTCTCCACTCACCCTTTCTTGGATGATTGGGGAAGGCAGCAATCACGCAATGGATCAGCGAAATGCTGGCGACGAGGTTTGTCTCGGCACGCCTCGGTGCCATCGCATCGACACCGTCTGGGGCTTGCCACCACCGGCCAGCGCTTGCTGGGCCCACCCTCTCCTTCCCCTTCCCTTCGTCCTCTCCGCCGCCTGCCCGTGCCCTTCGCGTCCATTCTCTTCCCTGCCCCGTCCCCGTCTCTCCCCCTGGTCATTCCCTGCCCTGCCATGCCCTCCCCCTTCCTCCCCCCGTCTCTCCAGGGCGGAGGAGGACCGCGCTGGTATAATGTGAAGGTGGCCTGCTGGGTCGGAGGAGGGGGAGGAGGTGGAGTGGAGCGTGTGCGTGGCTGCGTGAGTGCGAGGGGGTGCAGGGAGCAGAGAGGAGGTCGGGCGGAGGCCGGGAGGAGCGGGGCAGTGGAGGAGATGGGCAGGGGCGCAAAAGGTGAGGCGATGGGGCGGGAGCGGGTGTGAGGGTAGTGTGCGTGAGAGCAGGCGGGCGCCTGACGCTCGCTCCCCTCGACTGTCTGCGCCGAGCCGCCGCGCGCGCGGGGGGCCGCAGCGTCAGAGCGGCCAGGGCGTGCGAGGGCAAGCGGAGGGGCAGGAGAGAGGTTGCAGAGGAGGCGAGCAGACGAAGGGGGTGCGGCAGAGGAGGCGCAGGCGGAGGGGACGACCATGGAGGGGGCGAGAGGTGTTAGAGGAGCGGGGAGGGGGAAGCAGGGAGGAACATGCTTAACGCTCTGCGTATCCCCACCACCCCCGCGGTCCTGGTGCTGCTTCGCATCCGCCCTTCGGCCGCCCCTGAGTTCCGCCTGTCCCGGCGTGTTCGGTGCCCTGCTCTCTCCTTCGCAGGTGGCATAGCTGCTTGCCCGGCGTCCGACTGGATTCGTGCGCCTGCATGCCCAGAAGTAGCCCCACCACTCAATCCAGAAGCGATTCTGAGGCGAGCTCTAACTTGGGGACGGGGGCCCTGAGCGAGCCTCTTGGAAGCCCTTCGGGGGCCTACTGGCGCTTTCCTGGAGCACCACTGGAAGGCTTTGGTGCTTTTTGTTGGGCGCTCCGAGGGCCCCCTCTTTGGAGCCTTTCGGGTGCTCTTCGGGTTATCTTCCGAGGCGGGAATTTATACATGACCACCGCCTGGAGGGTCAGTTTTCGGAGCCCCGGCAGGCGGTGGATATGGACATATTCGAGTACGTAGCACCCCGCAGATGCGGATAAAAGTGGGGGGGCGGCGGGGACGTCGGCAGTTTGCGAGACTCTGGAGAAACCCGCCGCGGGCGCCAAAGTTTCACAAATGATACACCGAGACCGCCGCAGGCGCCGATTTTTCTTAAAACCAATGTGGGTAGGTCGCGAATGGTTCGCGAGTGGGTCGCGGGTGGGTCACTGTTGGGTCGCGGGTGGGACGACGACAACAACCTCAATCACAACAGTAACAACAACAAACATAATTCTCACCGCCAATTCCTTATTTAGCCACGCACGCAGGGACACTGACTGACCGTTCGGCCCCGTCGCTCAGACATACATGACTTACCCTGAAAATGGATTTCCTCGATCGTCGAATCTGCCAACAAATATACGTATTTGTTCGCAGATTCGACGATAAATGAAATTTTGGGGTAAGTCAATTGTTCAGCCGGCCCCCTGCTCGATTCCTGAACATGTGAATCGATAGTTTATTTGAGGGTTTTCGGAACCATCGTCGGAAGGATCTTTGGTAACCTCGAGCCATCTTGGGGCCTCTTGGGGCCATGCTGGACGCCATGTGGAGCCAACTTAGACCATCTGGTGCCATCTCTGGGCCCATTTTGGGTTAGATGCGGTCGTATCGGACGCTCTGACTGCTCGCCAAGGGCTCCTGGAGACGGGGCAGGGGGATGTGTGGACACAGCTGTTCGATTTATGGACAAAATCCTGCACCTTCCGTGCTGATCTTTCGAACACCCTCCGCGCCCCAAGTTTCACATTGTCGGGATGCGCCGCGATCTGTCGATCTGCCGACTGGCCGAAATCCCGCGACCCGCTGGTCAACCAACATCGGATCGGGGGCAGGGGGCGCGTTGAAGCTTGCGCCGGGGGTCGGCGCTAACGGGAATCAGCCAATCCTCGGCGGCGACGACAGGGGCGAAAAGCCCAGGGGCGGGCATTACGCGCATTCGCCCGGGAGCCCTTTCGAAGACATAGATCATGGGCGCACCTGAATTGCTCTCCCCTGGACTACAGTCGGACCGAGGCATAAGATCGAGGTCGGTTCAGGGAGAGTACCCTAGTGTTCTTCGTGCTTGTCGTATGTTCTTGTGTATGTTGGGGAGGGTGCCCTTGGATGTTCTGGTTGTTTTGGCCGACGGAGGGTCTCATGTTCTTCAAGGATGTTCTTGTGGCCTAGGTCCGACTGTATTCGCCCCCGTCGTCGCCCCTGGGATCCCCCCTGGCTGACCCTGGTTCGGGAGCTGCCCGGGTCCGGCTCCCCCTTGCCGCCCTCCGGCCGGCCCGGGTTCGGGAACTATACTCCGTGGCCGGCCGGGCTCCGCGACGGGGCCTTGGCCGACCTGGGTGTGCGCTGGCCTGGGGGTCAGCGCGTCCCTGGGTGGGGCAGGGTGGCACGACCTCGTCCTCGTCCTCGTCCTCGTCCTCGTCCTCGTCGTCGTCGTCGTCGTCGTCGTCGTCGTCGTCGTCGTCGTCGTAATCGTCGTAATCGTCGTCGTCGTCGTAATCGTCGTAATCGTAATCGTCGTCGTCGTCGTAATCATCGTCGTCGTCGTAATTGTCATCATCAGCCGCAGGACCTTTCCAGCGAGCAGATTCTGATAGACGCCTTCGAGCTGGAGGGCACCGCGGCGGCCGCCTGACAGCTCCGCCGGGGAGCGGTGGGAGAGGTCACCGGGGCGGCTGAGTCGGAGGCGACGATGGGGGCCAATAGCCAGGGGAGGGCATCCCAGTCGGCGGCGGTCGAGGGGGGGAAGTGAGAAGGAGAGGGCCTTCTCAGAAGGCGGCGGAACTCCTCAGAAGCCCTCGCGCCTTCTGAGGGGTTGCCCACGTCTTCAGGGAAGGTGCGGAAGACTGTCCAGGAGGCCCGCGCCTTCTCACTTCCAAGGGCGCCCGCGAGGGCGCGAAGTTATTCGCGCTTCGCGGTTCGGCTCCGATTCCTCCTCATCCTCCTCCCTTGGCAGGCGGCGCGAGAGCGCGAAGGCATTCGCACCTCGAGCTTCGCGCGGCGCGAAGTTCGCGAAGTTGGGAGCCCTTGTTCTCACTTCCCCCGTGGGCTCGCCCTTCGACAGGCATGCTCCTTGTCGCGAGGAAACAGAATTGGGCGGGGGGTGCCTGCGCCGCTGTCCGTCTCTCTGGGGGCCCGCACCCGAACGAAGGATTGCAAAAAAAAACCTTACTCGTATGGCGCTCTCAAGCCCGTGCCTTTTCACTACGCGTGTCAACGTTTCGCCCCTGCTGGGGCTCGTCAGGACTCGAATGAAGGATTGCAAAAAAACCTTCGTTTTTTTTTGCAATCCTTTCGGTTTTTTTGCAATCCTTCGGCCACGGGGCCGGCAAGCAGTGCCCTTGGCATCGCTCGGGCGTGGGAGGGGGAGGAGGACGAGGAGGAGGAGGAGGGGGAGGAGGAGGACGAGGAGGAGGAGGGGGAGGAGGAGGAGGAGGAGGAGGAGGAGGAGGAGGAGGACGAGGAGGGGGAGGGGTGCATGTTTCCTCCGGCGAGGGCCATCGGGGCGCCGCCCCCCGGCAGCAACAGCGCTCCCGCTCGAGGCTGCTTCCCTTGATTGGCCTGTTTTCCACCACCACCACCATAAGTTCTTCGTCCTCCTTCTCTTCGTCCTCCTCTTCTTCGTCCTCTCCTCTTCTTCGTCCTCCTTCTCCTCGTCCTCCTCCTCTTCGTCCTCCTTCTCCTCGTCCTCCTCCTCCTCCCCCCCTCCAACTTAGTTATGGTGGTGGTGGTGGAAAGCACGCCCATCATCCCTTTGGAACTCAAGGCGGTGCCCTTGCTCTCGGTACTGCTGCCGGCATTTCTGTTGCTGCCTTTTCGGCTACCACCACCAGTACTAGCAATACTACCACCACTACTGCCACTGCTGCTCTTGCTGCTAGCATCCTTGATCATTGGGCGAAAAAGCCACGCACGAGACCGATGAAAGCACAGGGAGTGGACGTCCGAGCGATGGCCAGTGACTCAGGATGAAAGAGACGGTCCTGTATTGAAAGGATCAGGGCGTCGCAGGTCTGGGAAGCTCGTCGGTCGTTGAAGGTAGGTATTTCGGGATTCCCACGTCCCGATCTGTTTCTAGCGCCGTCATGCTTAGGAGTCGGCATGGTTTTGATGTGGTTCGTTATTATCTGGGAGGGCCCGCATTCCATCTAATTGATCCGCCTTCCTGCTTCATGTTTTTCCCTACGTCTTCCGACCGGCGTGCGTGTCCGTGCACGCAGGGGCGCCAGTAATCCGTGCCTTCCACGAGGCTCCTCGGCCAGTGCGTGTCATACCCGCCCCTGGGCTGTGCGCCCCTATCGTCGCCTCCCCCTCCGCCTCCCCCCCTCCGCCTCCCCCTCCGCCTCCCCCTCCGCCTCCCCCTCCGCCTCCCACCTCTCCGCCTCCCACCTCTCCGCCTCCCACCTCTCCGCCTCCCCCTCCGCCTCCCCCGCCGCCTCCCCCGCCGCCTCCCCCTCCGCCTCCCGGGCCCGGGGCGTGGGGACACGTACACTCGAGTGCGCCAGAGCTCGGGCTTGCGGGCGCCTGTTGGCGAGCGCGCCCCGGATTTTGACGGGCCCGCTTGCGTGGGGCGTCTGCAGCGGGATCCCGCGCCCAATTTCAGACTGTCAGAGCGTGAATTACCTACCCCGCTTTCGCTTCCAGGCAAAACCAAGTCATACCACGCGCCTCCTCGTCAAGCGGCCTGACCAATACAGGCCGTTGTTTGGCATCGTTTGGTATCTCTTGGAAGCGAGGGTGGTCAAAAGCGAGGTAGGTTTGTTTGCCTCCTAGACTGGGCCTCGTCATGTTCATGGCGGCCCCATCAGGCCCACCCGAGCCCCCCGAACCCGACGCCTTCCCGACTCGAGTGCGGGCCTGGCTGAAGGGAAACTGGGACACACAAATAAATACACACAAATAAAAAGATTCCCCATATTTTCCTATATTTTCTGGGTTTTTGTCTTCCCCACCACTTCCCATATTTTCCCATATTTTCTGGGAAATCGACGATGAATTGTGTCTGTGTGTTTTTTTCCCTCCTGACTGGCCTGTGCTGCCTGGTGCAGGGAGCCGCGCAGGGCCGCGCGAGCCGCTCCGGCGGGTTCCTGCGGGAGGCCTCTCCCCGGAGCCCTGCTCTTGGGCCACGAGGCCAGCTCCGCTTGTGATGGGCCTGTTTTCCACCACCACCACCATAAGTTGGGGGGGAGGAGGAGGAGGAGGAGGAGGAGGAGGAGGAGGAGGAGGAGGACCCCCTCCCCCTCCAACTCATGGTGGTGGTGGTGGAAAACAGGCCCACCAGCTTGTCTGGCCGAGCGCCCGAGGGACCCCCAAAAGCGCTCGCTCGCTCCTTCGCTCGCTCGGCTCCCTCCTCTCTTCCCATCGACGCCCCTGCTGCTCCCCCCCCCCCTCCGCGCCGCGTGCCCCCGCGTCCCCCGCCCCCCCTCCGCCCCGCCCTCGGCCCGAGGCCCTCCCTCCTCTCCTCCTCCTCCTCCTCCTCCTCCTCCTCCTCCTCCTCCTCCTCCTCCTCCTCCTCCTCCACCTCGTCTTCGTCCTCGTCCTCGACCTCGTCCTCGACCCGTCCTCGTCCTCGTCCGCGTCCTCGTCCTCTGCCCACCCCCCGATCCTGCACCTCCTCCGGGGCAACGACGGGGGGGGGGCAGGCATACAGTGGGGGCGCGCATCAAGAAACCATATGCTCTTCGTCAGGGTATCCTAGGTTTTTTCGCTCCGCGCGCTGCGCGGCGGCTGCCCGCGGCCGTTGAGGAAACTGATGCGTTCAGGGTGTTCCGGGATTCCCCTCGGGTGCACCCCGCGCGCGGGTTTTCACGGGGGTCCCCAAACGGGGTGGTGACCACACCGTGCGGTGAGTCGGTGGGGATTCGGGGTCACCGCACGGTTTTGGGCTTCGGGTCGTTCTCCGAGGACGTCTCGGGCGACAGGAGCCTTTGGGGTACCGAGACCGTGCGGTGGCGGACCGTGCGGTGAGGTCTTGGGGGATTTCGAGGTCACCGCACGGTCTGTCACTGCACCGTTTCGGGACTCCACAAAGCATAGGGGGGCCTGCATCGACCTCACATCTCCCATGGATCGCCGAGAGGGGCCTGATGGCCCCAGCCGGCCCAGGAAGGTGCGGATCCGCTATCGGGGGCCTGCCGCCGATCCACTGGCGACGTGTCGCCGAGTCCAGGCCGATGCGTCCCCCCCTGTGCCAGTCCCCCCCCTGCCGTGGCCCCTCGACCTCCTCCGGGGCCGCCCCGCCGCGCCACTCCGGGCCTGCCCTCCTCGAGAGCCCTGGCGCTCTGCTCGGGGATTCTTCCAGGAAGGGGGCCGCGAGGATGCTGCCGGCGCGCTCCATTCGGCGCCCACCTGACGCGCTTTGTGCTCTTCAGGCGGCCGATCCCACGCCCCATGTTGGGTTGCGAATCTGCGGTCGGCGCGCTTTCTGCGGCACACCGCTCACACTCTCTGCGCCCCACAGAGAGGCCGCAGCCGGCCCCAGTCGGGGTTCTCGTCTGGTGTGGAGCACTCGCCGGAAAGGCCATCACAGCGCTCCGCGGGCATGCAAACTTATCAAAGAATGTGTGGGGATGGACGCGGTGGCCGCTCCACAAGAAGCTTCCCGGCATACGTTAGCAGGCAAGGGGTATCATGGTTTCACAGTTTCTGCATGGGAGGATTCGGAGGCAGCCTTTTGAGTCCCCAGACGCTGGGTGCCAGGCAGTGTCGCCGAGAAGGCCGGTCCTTGTTGGGCCGGTGTTGACATGTGTCGACGTGCTATTCCCCTCGGCTCACATGCCAGACCACTGCATCGAGGACGGGCGCGGGGACCGCACGGTCACCGAAATTGTCTATTTTGCTAGGCAGATGCAGCGGAGATTCGCGAACACACATTCGAAGATCGTGTTAGGCACTCTTGTGCCCAGCGTGGACGGCTTCACGGGCAGCTTCACGGCGCGGCCTGCTACGAGCCACACTGCCGGGATGCGTAGCTTGGTTCTGTCGCCTTCTGGATCTCTGGAAGTACATGCTTTGAATACTTTCGGAGCTGGGGTGGCCATTACCAAGGACGAAGTGTGGACTTGCGGAATTGCTCGACCGAAGAGTAGAATTCAGATCGACCATGTTGGGATTTCTGCTTTGGTTGACGGGGAGGCGTGCCCCATCTCTAGCCTCGGGTCGGGCGAAAGGGGGGGGTTGGGAAAGGGGGGGTCACGAAATCTGCTGCATGCAGCTGGTTTCGGCCCCGCCGCCGGGCCCATTCCTCGATACATGGGCGCCTTCCGGCGCCGGGCGACGCCGGGAAAATCAGCTACGTGAGCTGATTCTCAAACCCCCCCTTTGCTATCCCCCCCTTCCGCCCGACCCGATAGCCGTAACAGTGAAGTGTTTCCTCCGCTCAGACCCTCGCCCGGTGTGGTCATCAGCGCGCTTTCAGAGTCCAGCTGGTCTCGCACACCACCCGCAGAGGTGTATGGCAGGGTGGGCGCCGGCGGGCGCTGAGGCCTTGCAGGAGGGGAAAAAACACACAGACACAATTACTCGTCGATTCCCCAGAAAATATGGGAAGTGGTGGGGAAGACAAAAACCCAGAAAATATAGGAAAATATGGGGAATCTGTTTATTTGTGTGTATTTATTTGTGTGCCCCAGTTTCCCTTCAGCCTTGTCTTGCTTCCAGACGGCGTGCGCGAAAATGCCATTCCAGCGCATGCAATTGTTGGACGAATTGCAAGCCTGGGTTACTGAGGCAGCCCTGGATGCGAAGACTAAGAAGTCGAGACGCCCCGGCCTTGGATGCGAAGGCGCCCAGGTACCGCCGGAGCAGCACGCGGAGAGGTCAAACGTTGTTCTGGCCAGGCACGCCGTGAATAGATCGGCATGCTCCGGAGGAGGCGCCGGGCCAAACAGAAAGAATGCAACGCCAAGATATTACGCAAGATTTCTTTCAATACCAGATGTGAGTCCACATCCCCATTGAAGTTGGAAGTTGGTGGTGAACCTACGGCTGACCGCAAAGTTTTGCTCTCCGAAGCGGTGAACTTTGGCATGCGAAAGTTTCTGGATCCAAGGAACACGCCGGAAGTTCAGAAGGGAATCTTGGATCCTCTTGAAGGTGTACACTGAGGACATTAGACGGGAGCCGTGAACCCGTGATCAGGTTGTTCGACGCGCTGAATGGCCGGGCTAAGATGAAGTCAGGCACTGCCAGTGGTGGG